ACTGGTGGCCAGGACCCGGGCAGTGTGAGTGCCACTGAAAATCAGCTCGCGTGCCGCAGGTTGCCTACCCCTGCTTTAGAGGATACTAGAGTTGAGTAGAACCACTACAGAGAGAAACTGCTTTCCACCCCATTGCTATACTTCTACCTTAGACAGCTATGGTAGTTTATTTCTAAACAAGGAGAAGATCCCAAGGGAGAACACAGCAGGCCCTCTCTGACCTATCACAGAAAGATGACCTAGAAGAATTTTCATTTCACTTTTTCTTCAATTTTTTGGTCTACTTTGAGAAAATATTTGACGCTTTTAAAGTGTTTGTGAGCCTGTCAAAGTTCCCAGGCTCAACATTTGACCTACATTAAATGTTCCGTGTGCTTACGTCCATCCCTATTCACTTTTTAAGTACCTCCTTACGTCCCATTGCCATTGGTGGGAATTATGCATGTGCTGGAAATGAAGCACATGCGGAAGTGCTTCGCAGAATTGTGGCTTTACCATTTGGGAGCCTGTATTACTATGTGGTTATTTTCATACCTGTAAATAACTAGAAGCCCTCTGTTCTCAGTGTGCTGCCTTTGGGGAAACAAAGACCCAAAAAGGAGAGACAGGAAAGTGTAGAGTCAAGATGTGGAATTCGTTTCTCCACCTTAAATAACATTGTCTGTAAACCTTGGTTTCATGTCTAATGTACCATAGTTCAGCATGTCTAATGCAAACAGCTTCGCTTAAGTCTTGCCTGCACACTACAGTGACTGGTGCATGGACAATACTATTGAACATTGATAGTTCATTAGCAATCGGGATTGGGGGATACACTGTGCTGGGCGCTGTACATATATTAGTACCAGACTGTCCCTACCCTGGCAGCTTCCAGTCTATGGAGACAAGTGACAAAGGCGGTGGAGGAGAAGGAAACAGTCAGCTATATACGGTGATCATGAATAAAGTGAGGGTCAGTTAGCCCCAGCCCTGCCGATCAGTCGAGCTATGCTGTAATCTAAGACACCGAGCCACATACAAAGAGCATGGGAAGAGGGAAACAATGTGTACATCAAAAGCGTGTGTCTCTCACCAGCAGAAGTTGGTCCAGTAAAAGATATTACCTCATCCACCTTGTTTCTCTGACACCGTTGATATGCGCACAAGCGTTTGCTCTGTTGCTTTGTTTTTTAATTGCATTCACAAATACCGACTTCGCCACCAACTGCCCTGCAACCACCTGCATCAAATGCACCTTCTCAAAGCCATTCAATGTTGACTGGGTTGTTTTTTTTTTATTTTTATTTCTTTACTTTTTTTGTAAATGTCATAGCAAAATAGGTTTATGAAGGAGGAAAGGGTAGAAGCTTTCTGCAGGGGTTTTATATATGTGCGGCGAGGATACAGTAATCGTGATCTTGGATGGGAGATTCCATCTGTGACTGGTTCCCCCCAGGGTGCCACCTGGAACTGGGGTACCACTGAGCCCTCTGACACACCAGCCTGGGCTCCCTCTCACACTGTGTGCTGTGATAAGCTGCAGACACACTCCCGGTCTTACACTTCCACCAGCATACACCCAGGTAGGAACACACCCACTGCATGAAGCAACAGTAGAAAGACTACAGCCAAGGTAACTCTCAGCTCCCCAGGCACGCACCCCCTCTGGAACATAAACCCAAAATTATACCATCTTGTGCTGCACAGGGAGCTGTACGGAGTAAGCTCATAGTCCTCCCACCCCCTGCCAATGTGAAGAGGAATATGCAACAGTCTTTGCCCCTTGAGCTACGATTCCCATGCATCTCATTCCAATTCACTGGTTTAGATAAAGTAAAAATAAGTTTATTAACTACAAAAGATAGATTTTAAGTGATAGCAACAGATCAAATCAGATTACCTAGCAAATAAACAAAACGCAAGTTAAGTTTTATATAATAAATAAATAATAAATTAATGGAGATATCCCATCTCCTAGAACTGGAAGGGACCTTGAAAGGTCATCGAGTCCAGCCCCCTGCCTTCACTAGCAGGACCAAGTACTGATTTTTCCCCAGATCCCTAAGTGGCCCCCTCAAGGATTGAACTCTCAACCCTGGGTTTAGCAGGCCAATGCTCAAACCACTGAGCTATCCCTCCCCCCGTATAGATGGGATATGAATTAGCAGATTCTCACCCTAAGAGATTATTCAAGCAGGCTGCAGATTTTGAAGAGATAAACTGCGCTTGCTTTACAGCTTGAAATCCCCTGGTCTTCCATACAGTCTAGAAATCCCTTTAGCCTGCATCCAGCACTTCCCCCAGTTCAGTCTTTGTTCCTCAGGTGTTTCCAGGAGTCTTCTTGTGTGGGGAGTGAAGAACAACAGATGATGTCACTACCTGCCTTATATAGCGTTAGCATGTGGCGGGAACCCCTTGTTTTAAAACTTGGTTCCCAGACCGGTTTGTGGAAAAATACTGACATCCCAAGATGGAGTCCAGAGACATGTGGCCTGGTCACAGGCCCTTGCATACCTTGCTGAGTCATAGCGGCCATTGCTTTCAGGCTGTCTGGAATGTTCCAGGAAGGTTAAGTTCTTCCAGGGTCCATTGTCTTTGCTGATGAGCCATCAGCACTGTCTGGCTTCTTCATTGTTATACTAGAAAGGCTAGTTGTGGGTGTCACCCAGAGTAAGCACGATTGAAAT